ATGGCAGGAAATCGCATGCATTATTAGTCATTTTCATTAAATCAATGTCAAAAAGTCTTGAAACAATATTATCGTTTATCGCAATGATTTTGTAGACAATCGCTCAACAAAATTTGTTACAGGCCTAGTTGTGGTTAGTTCTTTTTCTAGACTTTAGCTCATCATTGCCTAGGTTGAGGCGTTTCATGTTTGGACTATAATTCACTGGTTTTGGATACTGTACAGCAGCTGATTAGCATCTCCAACGTTCAGACAACACCTGAACTACGAGCCCAGATCTAAGAGGAGTTGATCAGGAGGTTCCATGGAGCATAGACAGAAGGAAGAAGTGTAAACCATCTCTTCCATCCATCATAACCCAACTACATCTGCCTGGCATTCAACCACACAACCAGGCATAAATTTAAAGAGCAGCAGCAAAGCAAATAAGGTGAGAAAGCAACAACTGATGGTGTCATCCAGGACATGTTAGTGTGGAATACCATCTCTGCTTCCTAGATATTGACCTGTTAGCCCAGGGGTCTTCAACATGTTGCTACAAAAAACCTTTTCCAGTTGCTCACCAAGGGGTCAAGAACTAAAGTGGTCAATAGAATAACACAAATATAGTTAGATGATTTTACTTGACAAAAATGGTGGGAGGGCCTAGTTTGATAAGTTTACTGAATTTAAAATAATCAGATGTTTCAGTGTTTGACCTGCTGCCTTATTTATTCCTTTCTTTCTTTTAATAACTTGGTGAATTGATATGGATTTCTCATACAGGAACAGAGGAAAGCGTGTTGGTTTCTTTTCAGTTTTGATTAGATTTTCTTCCTCGTACATCCATAAAAACTTAACTAAAACCTACTGAGAACAATGAGACAGGTCTACAAGCTGCCGGGCAAATGTCTCTCACCTGTCCGGGATGTCCTCCTTCCTGCGCGGTCGGGACATGTCTTCTCGTTCCATTAAAACACTATAATTGTTATAAAAGACTATGAAACCACGTAAAACTCTGGAAACACATGGAGAAAACAGACCAGCTCCTAACAAGAGCACATTCTTCTTAAAACTCTAACAGACATCATGTTCTGTCTGTCCTCTGCTCTGTCTGTCCAGCAAAAAGGTCAGTAAAGATGTACAGCTTCCAGCTTGTCAAAAGTAAAACTGAGCTCAGCCGCCGTGGAACTGCGGGCGCATCTAACTGACGTCACAGGAAACCGCAGATGCCTCATCACCCCCTGGTGGAAAACATGAAATATTGCT